TATTATTATTATTATTATTAGAAATTTCATTATAGATTAATGCTGTCTATTTTCCTTTTGATGTGTTGGGGAACATCACAAGATAATTAAATGGAAGCCTTCTGTGAGTCTTACTTCAACCTTCTGAACATGAAAAATGCAGTAGAAATTAAGGAAAGTCAAAATAAATCAAATGTTGCTGATGTTGTGCAGTATATGGATAAGGACATGGAACTGGAATTCTATTTTGGCTGGCTTACTGATGAACTGAAACAGAGTCAGGAAAAAACAGAAAGAACTATTATTTATTGCCAGACTATAAGATAATGTGGTTTACTTTATGCTACCATTAATGTTTTACTTTAATGTTTATTGGAAATGATTCAAAACATGTGCTTGTTAAAATGTTGCATTCCTGCACTCCTGAAGCCAATAAGCATAACATTTTGGAGTCCTTTCAGTCTGACAATGGTACCATCTGGCTACTAATTGCAACAATAGCCTTTGGAATGGGCATTTACTACCGAGGTGTCCATAGAGTCATACATTTTGGACCCTCCAAGAATGTGGAGTCCTACGTTCAGGAAACTGGTAGGGAAGGAAGGAATGGCCACCAAAGTGTTGCATATGTTTTATACCATGGAGTTATGTTAAACCATATTGATGCCCATATGAAGTCTTTCATTAAGACTGGAGAGTGCAGAAGAAAAACCCTTCTGAATCACTTTGAGTCTGTGTCTCTGTATCCAGAACAACCCCGCCTTTGCTGTGACAATTGTGCTACCCAATGTAAATGTGGTATGCTACACTCTGCTAACATTACCAAATACCCTGTCACAGCATACAAGGATACTCTGCCTATATCTAAATAAAGAGAAGTGTTGCAAAAGCAAAAGAAAGTTGTAGAAGACAATTTGATAAAGTATCACAAATCCATCTTTATGCAACTGGTTGGTACCACTGCAATTGAAAATGCGAAGACCTTAATTTATAATTTATGTTGGGATTTTCGCAGCACCAAATATCACAGGTTTTGGTTAACTTGCACAGAATTTTCTCAACAGCTTATGTTTACAACTTGGTAGAAATATGGGACAGAAGGCATGCACTGAGAATTCTTTCAATTGCAAGCAATGTATTTCAAGACATTAATGTTAACAATGATTCACTAGTTGCTGTAAATGATGCCAATAACTATGAATTTGATGACGAGTTACTTGATGAATGGCATGAACTTTTGCATGGTGATGAACTTTATGAGATGATTGTGGACGATATGCCATTGTCACGCCTAGAAAGCTCAGCATTGGAAGAGGAAAATGCCAGTGATTCATGTGATGATGATGTGATGCCACCAGTAGTATTGGCAACTGTTGAGAATATGGCATTAGATCACTGATTACTAATAAGTGACATTAGCTTGTTTGACTTAACTGTATCATGTACTGGGCAGAGGCAGATTAAGGACTTAAAGAAAGAGGGCCAAAGGGCAGGGCAAAAAAGTTTGGCAATAACAAAAACAGAACACAGAGTGGTGGAAATCACTGTGGGGGAGGGGGTTGGGGAAAACAGTGCAGCTTCTTTGGCCCTCCCACTACATTGTGGTAAGAAAATGAGTGATCTAATAAATTCATCATATTTTTAAATCAGATTTCTGGTCATCAAGAAATTTTTTTTCTAGCAATCTGCTGTGCAGGGTATATTTTTCCGTTGTAAATGCTCTTTTTTTCTGTTACATTTGGGCTGCATGCAATTTTTTTCTTCCAACAAGCGCTTGCAGGAAATTTTTTTTCAAAGTCACCCACCCCCTCTCCTCAAGAGATAAATGGTCGGCCCCTTAGATTGAGGAACGCCACCCGTATCGTGACCTGCTCTTCATTGAGACGGACTTAAGGGCATATTTATCTATTAAAGCAATGACGCAGATTTGATCTTCTGAGAACTCCACACTCGTACTCGGTCGATCTCATGCAAATATGTTTCATTATAAATGGATATTTTATTTAATTTACCAGGAGCGATCAATTGGTTAAGCACATTTTCATTTCTTTTGTTTTGTTTTGCTTTGTTTGTTTGTTTGTTTGTTTGTTCGTTTTCTTCTGTCAAAGAAAAAAGAAGTCGTAAGAGTAGCATTTTGATATGAGACAAGGGAAAAATGATACGGCTTCAGAACGGAAAAGACTCAAATGGGGCAAAAGATACCATTTTTCAATTTTGATTTATTAATCAAAGCTACCTTACAATTTTCCCCTTATATATTTTTTTTATTATGCATAATTATCATTCTTCCAACCGCAGTTTACCAAGTGAATCTGTTGATTTCGGTTTCATTCTTTGTGACTGCTCTTTCTTCTATGCATCATCTTCTATGAGGGAGACTTTGATAAACCTGATCCCAACCTTTTCTTCCTTGTCATCTTTGTACAACTCCAGAGAGAGTCCCTTACTGGGCATCAGTCGGTTGTTGTAGCCAGCGGTCCTCACAAAGCCTCCGTCATGCGCAGTGTAGCATGATCCCCAGCGTTCATCCAACTTGAGGGTGATGATGAACTGGCCGGGGTAGAAAGAGTCGGAGGGTTTCGGTGTAAGGGATTCGCGACGAATAGACCGTAAGGTGGGACCAGAAGTACCTTCTATTCCGTAGCATGGAGAACGCTTACCATAGTTATTCTTGTCAGTTGTTTCAAACCCGATCATTCTGATACCGTCTGATACGCCATATAGAGTATCGCTGTCAGACGACTGTCCTATGCTGACGTCATGTGCGACCGTGATCTCAACAGTTAGCGGTGTTGAATCTTTAAGCACACCAGCAGGAATCATGCGAACCTTGAGGAGAGCGGAGGAGTCCGCGGTAGAGCTTGCGTTGAATGTGAGCTGTGCAGCAGTCAGCGAACGCGAGCTGTCAATGTAGGACGCATGCGCCTCCAGCCAAGATGGAGTCATGGTTTGATGATAGATCACTTTTCGCTGCAGAGAAGGAACACTGATACGTTAACCTAGAAGTTATTGAGCAGCTTATATTAATTAAAAAAAATTACAAATGATATCTGAGTGAAGATGTTGCATAAATTGGTCCGGCTTTTAACTTCGTTAATCGTTCGGGTAAGCTTGGAAAACTGGGCCAGCTACATCGAGTAAAAGCTTACTGGTATGAGTTTTGGAGAAACGTTATAAAAAAGGTAAACGAGGTATTTGTCCTCATCTGTTCTTCGTTTTGCCTTTCTTTACCGTGTTAGTTCCAACAAGAAGGAATTTCAGTGCGCTCTGACGAAGGGTGGCCAACTAACATTATCAACTCAGGTAATAAAACCAAACTGTCATTTTGTGCCATGGTACTCAAAAAATATCAGATGATAATGGCAAAGGTTGTCTTTCGAAAAGTACCTCGAATTTGTGAACTCGACCCAGTTTTCCTAGCTAGTCTGAGAATCCACGTAACTTACTTGTGACTTGCAGGGGTCCGTTGAACACGCTGACTGGAAACAACATGAACGAGTGACCTAAGAAAAGCGGAAAATTAAATAAACAATCATTAGAAACTGAAACTATGATTCTTTATTCCCCTGGCCAAGAAAAACAAATATTCTAAAGGCTGATAACCCTCACTTTTCAGGGATGAAAATTCAAGACATCAAAGACAGCGTGGAAATTCATAATGAGTAGTAGCTAGCCATCACGAATGTCGAGTTAACCGGAATATGTGATAAAAAACGCCAAGCGACTATACCAAGATTTCCAAACAAACCAAAAAATTACAGCAGGTCTGCTAAACTGTGATGAATAAAAACTCACTTCAAAGAAATGTTATTTGAGCGTAGTTATTCAATTTTAGCATCAACATTGTACGTTTCAGTGGTCAAGCATTGCAGAGATGTATTTCTCAATTGTCTCGCCCAATTCGTCTTCAAAGTTATTCAGTTCTGACAAATTTTGCCGATGTTTACATCGTAAAAGTGTTGAAATCTGTACAAAAATTAGTCACTTACTGGGCAGAGAAATGCCGCCAAATACACGACTGCTAGGCCTGTGTTTGAAAAAGTGGGAAAGAACTTCATGCCTTTTCTCAGCTGACTGATTTGTTTTAATTCAAAACTACAGTAGCGATACTTTGAGATATCAGCGTTAAAGTGACGCATCAACTCACTGCCTCGTTAATTTATTGTAATTTGGAGCACGAACTTTTACGAGCAAGGACATTGTTTACATTTATCACAAGTTCAAGGAACGCGATTACTTTTGTACATTATTCATAACTACTGTGGTTAGAAATCATGATTTCACAATAGAGCTCGTGTGTTTAATTTCTTACTGATGCACAAGTTTTATTCTTTGAAACTTTCTTTCGAATCACGGTCGCAGTGATTCTGTTGTGACAAGGAAGTCCATGGAAGTTCGCGGAAAATGTAATTTCGCGACGTCACTGGGAAAACGAATCTATAATGGATAAACAAAGTCCAAAACTTCAACGGGTAAAACAAACAGTAGGAAAAGTCGGCAAAAGAATTGATTGAAGCTGGGAAAAAAGATAAACTTCTTTCGATTTCTTTGGCCGACGCTTTTTTTTTTAAAAGTTAGTCAAGGTAAATTATCTCTTCAGTCTTTGTGGTCGTTTCCTGAAGACCTTCATTTCGCGAAGTTTTGCGAAATGTAATGTACGGTGCAACAGGCAATGTCAACAAAATATGCAAATTGAGACCACGAAGAACGCGACACTCTGCTGGAGACCTTTCGGATTATATCACTTATTGCTGTTCGGTACCACTACTACTGTTTCATTCGTATCTCGCGTTTTTTTAAATATTTTATAATTTTCTTTACGACAAATTATTATAAGCATAAATGATTTCTTTAACCAAAAAGCCCCCCCCCCCAAAAGCCATGAAAGCGGCCCTCACCCCCTCCCCACCGCTGCATAATCATCCCATCTCACCTTTCACTTCACCAAAGTTGCATGTTGTCGAA